ATAAAATTAATTCAGACCTCCCGAGCCCCTGGCCCATAAGGCCTTAGTTTTTGGCCTAAAACTAGGACAGGTCCAATTGGCCGCCCTACTTATTTGAAATTAACAAGTAGCATTTTTGTCAGAGCTCTCAATCAGAATAAGCACCAATACATATTGGCAAGCTACCAAAGTTTGATGCCTACAAACCTACTTGAGGTTGGATATTGAAGCGACTATGCGCGCACTTCCATCATTCTTTATTGTTTTTTAAAGAATGTTCCATATACTCAGTCAAGTGAATTTAATTCTGCACATCTTACCATCATCGGAGAAAACAAAATTTGCACAGATGCAAACTAAGTCAATTGATATACAATGAATTACTTTGATTCGGGGGGGGGGGGAAGGATTCGACCTTAACAAAATGCCAATGTGGCTGTGACCCTCAAGGTCCTCTCCTAGTTAAGAATTACTACTTAGAACCTTATCTTTGTATTCAAGTTATCAGTATATTTGTTAACAATGAAAAAAATGCTCAGGGTATATTTCTTTGCCTTTTCTTTAATATAATATCATTTGACCAAAAGTTAGTTCCCCTCCTTTTCTCTCTTAGTTTCTTTTAGTTAAATGCCCTAAAAGCTAGTTTCCATTTTAACCCTTTAAGAAATTGAATAGCACCAAAAAACGCATTCTGTTTTTAAGAAAAACAAAAATGAAGGGTGAAGAAAATGTAAATTCTTCCCCCCAAATTGGATTGGGCAGTTCAATGTTATAACTGTGGATCAGCTGGCTAGCAATTAGACTGGCCAGTCCACTGGTTGATGACTGGTCCGAGGCCATCACCGGTTTTTTGTTTGGACAGGACCCAAAATCCTACGAGTTCCCGGTCTGAACCAGCCAATCTGCTCCGGTTCTTATAATATTGCATTTTGTTAACCGAAAACAACCCTTTTAAAGTGAATTGCTTGTTTGGTCCAGAATTCCATGTCAAACTTTGAAAGGCTCATGGGCTTTAAAGAACTTTAGCAAAACAGCTGCACCATATGTAAGACAAAAGTACTTGATACGTATGTTCTTTCAATTATAGTTCAACAGCAAAGCGCAGTACAGATTTGATTGCCAAGTCCATGATCAGAGATAGACACGACTGCATGGTGAACATACTGTGACTTTGCTATGTTGGATGCTCTTTCTGACAAGTGGAGGGGGTGCTTAAGTGTAATTGTACTTTATTTTTGCCACCATACATACTGAACAAATGTATTTTTAGAGGTAATTTAGAAGAGCAGTTCTCCATCATTGAAGCGTAGCAATCCTCAATAAGAGGAAGGCACAAGGGCAAAGGACTTCTTGTGATGATAATACCGAATGGATTCTCTACAACATATAACCTGAATACGACTCAACAAGAATCAATCAGTTTGATGTAAAGGAGGCAAGCCTTACAACTAAAGACGGGAGTGACAGACAAGAGGGCTGATGTGTGCCAAATGGGGCGGGCTAGAATGTAGAGTGAGGGCAGTTCTGAAGTGGACACACTTGATATGTTGAAGAACCTGCTGCTGGTGTAGTGTAGGAGAGATGATATTAGATCAGAATGTGGAGCACTTTCATATTTTGCTTTTCTTTTTGTTCTTTGGAAGAGTGGATATGAAGCTCAGCCAATCTCATGCACATTGTGATGTGTGTGTAGACATGCACAAAGGTACACATGCATGGTCGCATGCATAATTGGTTTGATTTGGAGATAGACTAGACATAATGAAAAACAAGAATTATGATGAGAGAGCAAGGAAGTTTACTTCCCCACAGGCAATGGTGTCATTCAATTTCAATAACAAAGTTCAATTCAATCAGGTTAAAATTATTTATGGGGTTGGTGTTCTAAACTAAACTGGATTGTAAAAGTACCTTTAAAATTACTAACATGAAATAAAGCCTGCTATGTCATAAATGGAAAGTAATAAGTTAAGAGAATCAAGAGGATTAAGTGAAAGGAGCAAAATAGAAGTAGTGCCAAATGTTTACCCGATACATATCTTTCAATAAGAAATTAAACAACTAATCCTATCTGCCATATGACAAACTCATCCAGTTCAGACTAATCACGAAATCATATGCTCAAAGGTCTTCTAGTTAATGTTTCCCCCATATACATGATCTACGGTTTCAACAGAAGAGCTGCATATAACCCGGTACAGATAAATTTTATTTTACTCGTACACAAGGTACTCTTTGAATCATGTTCAAATTTTGCAGCACATTATCCCAAGAGATCTCCACCTAAAACCTATGGTAACCACTTTAGGTACAAGTTGAGCTTACATGGAATACCTGAGGACAGTTTCAGCACAAGGGATGCAATGCCAACTTTCATTACTATGTTAGGAGCACTCAAGGATTGTCAGTAATCATTACAGATTATCCTAAATTTGGAGCAAGCTCATTACAAACATGTATCCTAAGGCAATCAATGAACTCATAGCTTCCAGTAATTCAGAACTTACAAGACACAAACCAGGATGCATGCCAAAAACATGGTGTGGGAATTCTGGCTTAATATAACCTCCCCCGATAGGTTGAAGCAGATATTTCATTTAGTACCATCAACACATCCAACAAAAACCTTTCAAATACAAAGACTATTGTTTATAGATAAGTTAAATTTATCAAGGGACATAGCAACCATGAAATTAGAGTACTTTGAAGTAGCTCATAGATTAGAAATGTAATACATGAGAAGATGCAAAATTTAGCATTAACAAAACAGTATAGAATTTGAAAAGGCAACCATATCACAAACACACATACACACACATGCCCATCTCAAAGATCATTCAAGTAGAAACTTACTTATACTGTCTAAATCATATGATTAACACTTTATTTCATAGCATACATCTGTGAAAAAAACACAATGTGCCTGCCTACACTTAAATTTTTGTATTGATTTGAAATCATAACAACCTGGAATATGCGGGATGGGCGACCATTCAGCATACTCATTATCATTGTCGCAGAAACATCGACAATATAATGAACCCCGAACAGCAAGGCGCCACAGTGAATATTCATTTAATTTTTCCATAACTTTATGGTAGATGTAAAGCAGAAAGCGGACATCATCTGCTGCAGTGCGAATCATCAATTCCGATAATGGCCTTTTGCGCCAAAATGAGGGGTCCTGAAAATGTAGATTTAGAAGTGCAAACAATTAGTCACTTTATCAACTGTAGAGGAAAACTACCGTAGATCAGTATCATACTAGTTATCCAATTACAAGTACAAATAAAAGTAGAAAATGCAAAAAGCCCAGCATACATGCATTCATAGTATGAAGATGCAAGTGCTCAACAAGCATTAAATTAAGCGGTAAATGATAAATGCACCACCCGGCTGAAACTCCCGAAGATATGATAAATATATTTGAAACAGTTGGGAACGGCACACTATGCAGTGGATCTCATTATTTATAGCAAGCAGGAAATGCTTGCCAAAACTTTCCATGAATCCTGAATCAATTTGGGAAAATACTTTGATGATGATGTGATGAAGGAATGGAACTATATTAAAACTATAGTTGTGCTACTAGCTAGCTATAAACAAAGAAAATCATTTATTTGGTTGTTATCTTTGGTCTTTAAGGTTGGGATTAAGATCCCTAACAGCAGGAATTGAGATCCCTAATAGTGGGAATCGAAAACCCAAAATCTAAAAATCCAGATCCCTAAGAGATCTGTTCCAGGAGTAACAGAATTGAGATCCTAGAAGGGATCACCTACCAAAGTAGGCGATCCTGGTGCCTATGGTTTAGCAAGAGAGAAAGAGGCACAGAGAAGAAGAGATACAAGAGAGAGGTGAGAAGGAGATAGTTACATTGAGAAGAGAAAGAAGAAGAGCCCTAAACGCCCCTCTTGTCCCTTTTGTAATAACAAACTATAAAAATGTACAAAACTCCCTCTAACTATAAAAAGGAGAAATAAGATCTTAGGGACTTAAATACAAGACAACAACCACAGAATTTGATATTCACAATAGTTCTGCCATTTTCTTCCCTTATCCCTTTATTATATACTCAAAAAGAAACTAAAGAATGGATAAAAAGAAAACATATATAAATGAATTTTTGTTCAACGTTGCTAACTGTACATAAGAAACCATTGCATTTACAACTATCATTTCTTTTTTATCTGAGCTTGATATAAGCATATGTTTCCTGTATGAAAATATACCGTACAAGGATTTTCACCAACATTTCTTTCTCTTTTGACTGATATACACTAAAGGCTTCTTTTTTTTGATAGATATGGATTAAAGCATCTCTTTTCTCTTAGGAAAATATATAGAACATGATTTTGCATCACAATTATTTTCTTTTTTCCAACGATATGCTTTTAAGACATGTTTCCTAATAGAAGAACTAAGACGGCTGTGAATTACATTGACTGACCCTGAGGGATTAGGATTGTGTTCTCACCATACTAGAAACGCAATCCACCCAAGAGCTGGCTCTTGGAGCATGGGATCGTTGGGATCACCACCAAGTTGAGAGATCCCAGTAACTTTGGGCAGAAGTATGATGAATCTAATTACATATGAATCTTGTTTAGGAACCATAACCTCATTTGAGATTTCCTAATCTACATCTGACAGTCCTTTGTTAAATGCCCAAACTCAAATCAGGACTAGAACACAAACAAAGACAATGACTAGCAACTCTTTTTTAAGAAAATTACAAAGAATTAGAGATATAAAGCAAAAGGAAATATATAATGCAAACACATCAGTTATTATATTTCACATGATCAAAACTAGAATGTGAAATGAAATTATTTGTAAGTTGCATAATATAGACAAAAAATACGCATTCGCTTGATATGCCTTATAATACACAAACACACACACAAAAAAAAGTATAATTGTATGTCCATCCCATTGCACAAAGAAACATCTGACAAACACTAAAACGTATGTGATACATGTGCTCATGAGAGAAATGAATGATGAAATACCAAACACAAGATGTGTCATTCTTCCAGATTTTAGAACAAGGCAACATAGTCGGTTGGCTTTCAACATAATTATCAAGATATTTGCAAATTTAGACATTCATCTCACATTTTTGGACATGTGAAAATTTGATTATTACTTATTTTGCAATTAACTAATTATTTGACAGTGTGAAGCTATTTACAGCATACATAACTATATGAACTATCAAGAGATCAAACTTATGAGTTATACTATGAAGCTCGTACCTATTTACAATTGATGCTATTTTCAAAAGAGAACTATCGAGGGATTTAAACTTATGAGCCACACCATGAAGTTGTAGGGAGAGAGTGATTGAGCAATGACTACAATAAAAAATGAGTGCATCAGAAAATCAATTCGGTTTTATGCCAGGGCGGTCAACAATTGAGGAAGCATACGATAGGGTACCTAGAGAGTTAACGTAGTAGGTGTTGGAAAGAAAGAAGTTTCTAGAGGATATATTGACATGGTGAGGAATATGTACAAGGGAGCACTAACTAGAGTGAGGACAATAAATGAAGAGACGAGTGGGTTTTCAATGACAGTAGGCATCTTGATTTTAGTTATACATCTGGGGTCAGCATTGAGCTGATATCTCTTTATTTTAGTTATGGATAAGTTAACTAGGCATCTTGTTAACTTATCTACAGGATGCGGTACTATGGTGTATGCAGTTTGCAAATGACAGTTTTGACTGATGAGACTAGAGACAACACCAACACAAAGTTAGAAGTTTGGAGGAATACACTAGATTCTAAAGGTTTTAAAAATAGCCAAACTAAGACATAATATATATAATACAACTAAGACATAATATATATAATACAAGTTTAGTAATAATAGGAGTAGAAACGAGGAATTAGTTAGGATTAATGACCAAGAAGTACCTGAAAGAGATTATTTTTTATATCTTGATTCAATAATCCATGAGAAATGAGAGTTGAGGAAGATGTCGCACATAAAATTAGAGCTGGGTGAACGAAGCGGAGATGCGCTTCCGAAGTCTTATGTGATAATCTCAAAATAATACAACCGAAGGAGAAGTTCTATAGGACGATTGTAAGACCAGCCATACTTAATGGGACGGATGTTGAGCAGCAAAAAAACAACATATCCATAGAATGAATGTAGCAAAGACGAGGATGTTGAGAAAGACGAAGATGTTGAGAAGGATGAGTGACAAGACAAGAAAGGATTCAAAATGAATGCGTCTGAGGGAACTTAGGGGCAGCTCCAATAGGTGTTAAAATGAGGGAAAGTAGATTTAGGTAGTTAAGTAGATTTAGGTAGTTTAGGCATGTGCAGCGTCGACCTAGAACACTAATGATGAAGAGGGGCAATTTGGCTCAAGTAGAAGGCTCTAAAAGGGCAAGGAAAAGGCCCAAACGGATATGGATGGAAGTAGTGAGAAGAGATATAATAACTTATGGTTTGACTAGGGGTATGGCCGTTGATAGAGCGAAATAACGGAACAAAATTCATGTACGCGACCCCAAATAGTTAGGATAATGCTCGGATGATGATGATACAACTGATTGATTCCTTGAGTTTGAGAGCTTCACATATTAATACCTAATAATCATGGGGGAAGTTTTCATAGCTTATCGATTTATAAGATGACAAATACAGGTAGAATGGGGAATGTCTTGATCTGCTGCACGCTTTCAATTAATTGTGGCAACTCCTCCATGTTGAATGTGTTGTTCTCCTGACCTCATAGTTTCATATATATCATGGTGCTGCCCTAATATAGTTTGTTTTCGGATTGCTGCCCTACTATTCCAGCCAATGTGCTATCGATGTTTCCATCATGCTATATTGTCTTTCGTCTATGATATACAATATCTTTGGTCGCAATGTTGGGCTCTGCTCATTGGGTTTTCATTATGATATATGAGAACCTTCTTGGACTTAGTATCGTTCCACTCATTAGATCAGGCATCAACATCTTAAAGGTGCTCAAAATCTTTGCTAATATGACGAGGCACACTCTCATTAATAGTGCTAATTTGATCGATGTTTTTCAGAGCACGCCCAAACAAGGGAACTCCATCTCTCATTTCGGATTTTAATTATCAAGAAATGCAACCTTCATAGAATTTTATTCTTCTTGAGATAAGATGGCCTTAGGAGCATTCTACATTTTTCATTTTATCAAAAATAACATGCCATGAGTAATGAATGCTTCCACCTTTGGAGGAGCTTCCTGTTTTTACTCTTTGTCTCCATGTACACAAGTAACTCTGCCTTGGCCGGTCCCATGCCAGCTATGCTTGTCCCAAGCACTAGTAATGGATGAGGATTGTGTTCGGTAGGTAACCAATATAAAACTTTAACATAAACGAGAGTGGAGGTCATAGATACATTCATAGGATTATAATATCTGAAGTGAAAGAAGCTTTGAGAAAGATGAACATATAGATGGCTTTAGGATCATACGGTATTCCGAAAGCATACAATAGGGTGTACCTAGAGACTTAATTTGGTGGGTGTTGAAAAAAAATGGAGTCTCCAGAAACTATAGTAACATGGTGAGAGATATGTACGAAGGACCACTAATTAGTATGAGGAAAACTAGTAGAGAAACAAGTGAGGTTTCAATGACGATAGGCCTACATCAAAGGTCAGCATTGAGCCTATATCTCTTTGTTTTGGTTATGGGCGAGTTAACTAGGCACCTAAACGATGAGGTACCTTGATGTTTGTTGTTCGCAGATGACATAGTATTGATTGATGGGACTAGAGGCAACATCAATGCAAAGTTAGAACTTTGTTGTGATGCTCTAGAATCTAAAGGTTTATGGCAGTGTTCCAAAAAGCGGACCGCTCAGAGCCTGGGTGGCCGCCTAGGCGGATTTGGGGGCCAAGGCACCCTAAAAAAGCGGTCGTCCCTGGGTGGCCGCCTAGGCGCCCAGGAAACCGCCAAGGCTGGGCGACCGTCCAGGGACTACGCCCCTCCCAAAGGTGGAAAACAGTTTTCAAAAGTCATTTTTTGTCCTTTTTTTCTTGTACTAAAGGGCCAAAAATGGGTGCTTTAGGTCCATTTGAAACCAAAAACGTATTGGAGCCCATTTTAGAGAGAGAAAGCCCCCCAAAAAACAGCTTTTTGGTGATTACTTTAGGATCGAAGGGTTTCTCAAAGTTATGAAA